GCCACCACCCCACCCATTATTTGAACCTTTTAAACAGACATCATGTGTATGTCAAGAAAGGCAGGCGCGTTAATAGTGGTGCTCAGTCATGGGTATCACTTCGCCATGTGTTTCTAATGATCTCCGTGCATTATGGCGTGGTCCGACGTGCTAACGAACCCGATGTGACAGTTACATTGCAGAACCATTGAAATACATGTTAAAGTAGTGTTAATCTTGTAACACTATATTTACCCATTTCCAACCATTTACGCGTGTACTAAATAAATGACAAACCTAACCCTGGTCACAATGAAAACAATGGCCAGATTTACACACCTGTGAAATACATGTAAATACAGAGTTAAGTGTTCGTTTATTTTAACACCCCTTTAAACGTGTGTAAATCTGACAGCCAGATGATACGTAGATTTCAAACGCTGTTCATATGGCCGCCGGATGAAACGTAGATTTCCTAAAGTTAGTAAATTTGGGTAATACAGTCATTTTGTGTGGTGTATTTGACTCCGCGATTGCACTAATACCCTGTTAGGGATCTGAAATATGGGGAACAAGTTACTGTAAAATTATTGAAACTGTGCACACCAGAAAGTCAGTAAAACTACCAATAACAACATGGCTCTGGGAGAGTGTGGGAGAGCTCCCCTCCAGTGTCAATATATCTCAAGAGCAGTCAAGTACTGGTGCAGATTGATGCAGCTTCCACGAAACAGACTCCCTTATCAGGCATATCAAATGATGAAAACTCTGGACGATAATGGTAAAACAACAAGGGCTTCTCATATGAGGTTGATATTATTTCAATATGTATTTGGCTTCTTATTGATATCTCGAGACATAGGCTGTATATCCACATCCATGGAAATGTTTAAACAGAGATTATTATGACTGCTTTACTAAACACTGGCATTCATCACAATTTTCGTCGTCCAAATGTAATTAATATTCACAATTTAAGTCATATCTCAGCGTCGAACCATACTTAACTAGTGAACTGCCACCAAATCAACGTAAAATTATAACTCAGTTTCGGTGCTGTAACAAACGCCCCTTATATTGAACGCCTCTGCCTCTTTTGTCATGCTGATGGCCTTGATTACATAGAAGATGAATTCCATATTTTATTAACATGTCCAAAATATTCCCAACAATGATCTGACTGTTTTTCAAATCATTTGACTCAACCACCGACAACTGAAACCTTCATCCGACTGTTGTCATCGGACAATATCCATATTTTAAAACCATTGAGTAAATATCTTTCACGAGTTCGCCGTATAAGGAATTAATAAATATAGCATTAATTAATACTAAACTATACTCAGCTTTACTCAGTATGTATTTACTTTTGCAAAGTGTATGTATTATGGGCCTTGGGCCTAAATTACCGAATAAACCTGTCTGTCTGTCTGTTTGTCAGTAATAATGCTGAAATAACGTATCTCTTGCGAACGTAATACACATTTAACATGCATAAAACGTTGAAAATGCGTGTTGCGGAACGCTTTCAATTAACGTGAACCACAAGCAAAACTTTCAACGGTGGCAAAGTCTTTTTTAATTAACGCAATCCTCACGTTGAAACATGCGTTAATTATAACTGTCTTCAGAACGTGGAAACGTAATAAAGGAAAATGCACATACAGTTTTCGAAATTGTAACAGTTGACATTGTAACAGTTGACAACATGTGTTCACGTAGCAGTGATAGCAGAAGGAACTGTGATTTATTCATTTATTTATGATTTATTGCGTACGTGTTTTGTTAGTTCGTTACGAAAACGTGAAATTAATACTTGCATGTAGGGCTGTAACGATACATCGAACTATCGATGGATTGTAATTGTTGAGTCTCCGATAGCAATTAATCGAAAAGTCATCGATGCATCGATAGTATGTGTGACTATAGATAGTTTAGTAACTGACTTTCGTTGATAAATGCGCAGCACCAAATTTTTATTTTGTTTTGTATTTTTGATTGTTTGGGTGCAGACTTGCAGCTTCATTGAGTTCATGTTTTAACTGTTTACTTGATCTGGGTTTCAAGTTTGTCAGTTATTAACAGAGACTAAAACTATTTCAACTTGTTTCTATTTCTTACAAACTATACATTCATTTGGGAAATGACTTCAGATGAGACAATTCAAGGAGAGAGAAAAACTATTGCAATAGTATTGCAATAGTTGGTCGCAATAGACTATCGCTATCGCAATAGCATGTTGCAATAGACTATCGCTATCGCAATAGCATGTTGCAATAGACTATCGCTATCGCAATAGCATGTTGCAATGGACTATCGCTATCGCAATAGCATGTTGCAATGGACTATCGCTATCGCAATAGTATGTTGCAATGGACTATCGCTATCTCAATAGTATGTTTCAATGGACTATCGCTATCTCAATAGCATGTTGCAATGGACTTTCGCTATCTCAATAGTATGTTGCAATGGACTATCGCTATCTCAATAGCATGTTGCAATGGACTATCGCTATCTCAATAGCATGTTGCAATGGACTATCGCTATCTCAATAGCATGTTGCAATGGACTATCGCTATCGCAATACTTGTTTCCCCTCAATAGTCACCCCTTCTTGCATGCCTTGAAATCTCATCTGAGTATCTTGAAATTTCATCAAAGAATAAAAACACGAATTGCCCTTAAAGGCTTACGTACCTTTGGGGTGTGTGTGTGTGTGTGTGTGTGTGTGTGTGTGTGTGTGTGTGTGTGTGTGTGTGTGTGTGTGTGTGTGTGTGTGTGTGTGTGTGTGTGTGTGTGTGTGTGTGTGTGTGGTCTGTAGAAGACTTCAAATAGTATAGGATACAATGGCGAATTATGCTCTGGGTAAAACAAACATCTTCCCCGAGATAAATGGTAAAATGTTAAATACAGGTGTATATTAATTAACGTTGTTACAGTAAGTATACGTTAGCACCCTCCTCAAGGGTGATATGGATTTCAACGCTCGAGCCGTCAGGCGAGAGCGTTGAATCCATATCACCCGCAGAGGGTGTGTGTGTGTGTGTGTGTGTGTGTGTGCTAACCTACTTATACCACGTGGGCGCCGAATGGACTCGTACATTGCTTGTTGCACGTGCGTTTCCTGCACCGCCAAGGTTGTTATCCACATATCAACCTCTGCACGTGCAGATAGAAGGTTGAAACACAGAAAATCAACCTGCCAGAACAATGGACATAACATACCCTAGTGGTATAAGCTACGTTTATAACGTACTGACAGATTTAACGAACTTGCTGCCGTATATTTTAGTCGAAATTCGGTTATAACGAACTAAATTAAGAGATCCATATCAGTGCACTTTAACTGTGGTTTACTATTTTACGAGCGTTTCAAATAACAACTCACGCCAAGTTTAACTGGAACCACAAAACTGAATGTGACCCGTATTGCTTTTCTCCCGATTTGTTTATTTGTTTGCATTATGTCCGAAGTGAATTAGGGGTGAGACAGTGAGCATGGTTTTACGCCGCTTGTAGCAAAATTCCAGCGATATCACGGCGGGGGACACCAGAAATGGGCTTCACACATTGTACCCATGTGGAAATCGAACCTGGGTTTTCGGCGTGACGAGCGAACGCTTTAACCACTAAGCTATCCCACCGTCTAGTTAAGGTAAGTAGACATCTTTGCGATAACGCCATGCTTTGCTATATACTTCCTCCGTCAACCTGTGCCGCATTGTGGGGAACTGAGATTTACTCAAATTTAATAATTTGAACATGCCCAGCCCCTCGTTGGGGGCCAGTGAGTCCTGTTATGGAACAACAACCTTCTTATCCAAATGTGGGCCAAAGACGTTTACCCCGTCAGCAAGGTGATTAAGTAAGGATGTAATCTGTTAGATGACTCAAACTGCTTCTGTTTCGACGACATGACACGAGACTAACCCGCTTGCCAAGGGAGGACGGGATACCCAAGATAGACTACCCGAAACAGCCTTCAACACTGTTTTAATACTGGATTCAACACGAAGCCCATGCATCAGTCAAGACGTTCAACTGTGATTCTGGATAATTGTCGACCGGTCGTTAGACCTGTAATTTGATGCTGATACATCACATCTGACCCGTTACCCTCACCTGTGAAGGCCTTGGATGGAATTGGTCTTCAGCAACCCATTATTATCGTAATCGGCTTGTAAAGGGGATCGAGGTACTAGGCCTGCTGGCTTCGGTGACACTTGCCAATGTATCCCATGTAAATTGATGCTCATGATGTTAATCAGTAGATTGTCTGATCCTGGGTCAATTATTTACAGACCGCCAATTGTTTATCGATCATTTGCGGTCGTGTACCGATTGCAAAATTCAGATGTACCTGCCGATTTCTGGGTTAGCCTTGGCGGTTCAACTTGTTAATCAACTCGAAGCATAATGGAAAGGCTTTACTTACAGGAGTAGTATTTTGAAGACGCAATCTGTAGTTCTTTAGTACGTCAGGGCGCACTGTTCTTTCGTTGTGTTTTGTGTCACAGTTTACGTAAGACAGTTATTGTCATTTTCGATAACCTAATAACATGACGCCAACACATTTTTTCAAAAGAACGAGAGATGTCTATATCCACATTCCTGCACTGAATTCATGGCAGTGTAATTAAAGAATTACAAATTGCACAGTTTGGGGAATCTACCCTAGATTAACTGGCCAATACCTACATAAGATAGAGAAAGCCTACCGTAGTCAATGGCTGGTTTGTGCAGTTGGGTATACTCGCCGTTGACGATATGAGATACGATGTTTCTACTGCACCTACAACCTCTTTGTACGCGCGGTGAGGTAGCCGAGTGGTTAAAGAGTTCTCTCAGTACCAGAATCCCGGGTTCGATTCCCCACATAAGTACAATGTGTGAAATCCATGTCTGGTGACCCCCGCCTTGATATTGCTGGAATATTGCTACAAAACTCACTCAATCACTCACTCACACCTCAGCATCCACAGGCTATGTATATAAAAGAAATAATGATTTTGAGACGCATCTTGAGATGAACTGATCATGACTTGAAAGTTTTATTTCAATTGCGCGTTTACACTGATTTCTTTTCTTGGCCGACGAACGAGTTTCCAACATCATATTAGAACGTAGGCGGGGCACGGAGGGACTTGTATAAACTGTTGACCTCTTTCATGACGCTCTGAGAAAAAAAAGGATACATGTAAATTAACATGTAGATTCAAATTAAAACAGTCTCATTAAAATCACGTCATGGCGTTCAGAAACCACAGCGTGTGAAAAATATCCAAAATAGTATTTCTTGAAGACATTCGGAACTGGCCAATAATTTAACTAGCATCAACAATGATCGGCTTATTTGAAAGTTCAAATGGTACTCCTTGTATAAGGTTGTGTCTGAGTAAATAATCTGATGTGATATGATGAGTAAATTAAGTTTTTTTAACCATCTAGAGTTTAGGGAGAATCCTAACACTGCACATTCTAAGATACAAAAAGCAATGTCTCTGATGTAGATGGGCGTGACTCTCACCCTTCTACAGTAGGATGGGGGGTCGAAGACGGTGGCGTCCCTGATGCCGGGGGAGATGTTGTTGTAGTTCAGGCCATACGAATAGTAACCTGGAAAAAATATAGCACACAATTTCAAGCGAGGAAAACAAAACATACATGTCCCCCAAAATATAACACACCCGAATACTGTCTGAATATTCCCATGTGCACTAACCCCGGTACAATCTGAATCTTCCAATGCAGACTAACCCCGGTACAATCTGAATCTTCCAATGCAGACTAACCCCGGTACAATCTGAATCTCCCAATGCAGACTAGCCCCGGTACAATCTGAATCTCCCAATGCAGACTAACCCCGGTACAATCTGAATCTCCCAATGCAGACTAACCCCGGTACAAACTGAATCTCCCAATGCAGACTAACCCCGGTACCATCTGAATCTCCCGATGCAGACTAACCCCGGTACAATCTGAATCTTCCAATGCAGACTAGCCCCGGTACAATCTGAATCTCCCAATGCAGACTAACTCCGGTACAAACTGAATCTCCCAATGCAGACTAACCCCGGTACCATCTGAATCTCCCAATGCAGACTAACCCCGGTACAATCTGAATCTTCCAATGCAGACTAGCCCCGGTACAATCTGAATCTCCCAATGCAGACTAACTCCGGTACAATCTGAATCTCCCAATGCAGACTAACCCCGGTACAATCTGAATCTCCCAATGCAGACTAACCCCGGTACAATCTGAATCTCCCAATGCAGACTAACTCCGGTACAATCTAAATCTCCCAATGCAGACTAACCCCGGTACAGTCTGAATCTCCCAATGCTAACCCCGGTACAATCTGAATCTCCCAATGCAGACTAACCCCGGTACAATCTGAATCTCCCAATGCAGACTAACCCCGGTACAATCTGAATCTTCTAATGCAGACTAACCCCGGTACAATCTGAATCTCCCAATGCAGACTAACCCCGGTACAATCTGAATCTTCCAATGCAGACTAACTCCGGTACAATCTGAATCTCCCAATGCAGACTAACCCCGGTACAATCTGAATCTTCCAATGCAGACTAACCCCGGTACAATCTGAATCTTCCAGTGTACACAAACCACTGTACATTCTGAGCCTTCCTAGGTACTCTAACAAGCTTAACCTTCCAATTTAGACTGTCTGAACACATCTGAACCGTCAAATTAGCACTGAGTTTGGTACAATCTGAACCTCCCAACGCACAATAACCCAAGTAGAATCTGAGCCTTTCTGTGCACAATACCCGGTGCAATCGGAACCTTCAAATGCACAATAGCCCCGATACAATCTGAACGTTCTGAAGCAAACTTACTTCCGGCACGTTTGAAAGTGGTTGTAGTAACAACTGGCACGCAGTCCTGGCGGGACACAGTAGCAAGGGTGACCGTTTCGTTGTTCGTGTCACTGAATATGTATCCTATCGTATTAAGGCTGTCCGTGCCAAAGCCGTAGGTGGTAGGACCCTGATCGACAGCGCCACCTAAAAAGGAAATGATCAATGCAGTTCTCTTAATGAACAACAAGGAGTTATCTACCCTTTCGGTACAGGATACAGTTATTCACTTGCTGGGAGTATAATGCCTTTCCATTCTTGAATGAACAGGTCGCCAGGAACCCGCACTGCTCGTACACGGTGACAAAATTGGTGGTTAGGCTGTTTGACTAAATGTATTTGGTCTCATCATGGAGGCGGTGAGGTAGCCTAGTGGTTACAGCGTTCGCTCGTCTCGCCAAAGATCCGGGTTCGATTCCCCATGTGGGTACAATGTATGAAGCCCATTTCTGGTGTCCCCCGACGAGATATTGCTGGAATATTGTTAAAAGCGGCGTAAAACTGACCTCAGTCAGTCCGTCGTCTTATCATGCTTGGGACGTTGCTTATAATTCTCTAGTCCGCCTAACCGGGACGCTATCATTAACAAGTAGACCAAGCTGGATATGGTTGAGAGCGACATTAAACAGCTAACAATACAAAGCACTTTCACTTTCCATCAAGTATTCAGTGATGTACTCACTCACTGTAATAATCTTACACCGTTATAACGCAATGGGTGTGGAATGTCTCACCAGGAATGCAGTTGGCCGGGAATCTCCCAGTCACGGGGAATATCTCGCACGTTTGCTTGTCACTGTAGATGCGGCAGCCGGTTCCCTGCAATCAATCAATTGAATACAAGGTATAAAAGATCCATATCTTCGGGTAGATATTGTATTATGCGACTTTCGCCAGGTCCAATACTACCTTGCCGTAAAACAAGCCCTCTTTGAATAATAATATAATAATAATATAATAATAATATAATAATAATGTAGTTGAAGAAGATGATGATTCACTCCTGAAGGATGTCGGCTTGCAAACTCACTCACTCACTCAGCCAAAATGACGTAAAATAAGAACACAATCATCCTTATCATGCGAAATTTTCTGCGTGGCCAAGAGACGAATAGGGCTGGACAAATAACATGTTCTTGAAATTTGTACTCCAGCTAACATTATATACGACACTTTTAGCACTGACGGTGATAAAGGCTTGCATATTATAATAATATCTGAAATTTGGTACATCGGTGATGAGCGGCCAGCCTATCCTCGGGTCTAGCCATCCGGCCTTCAAGGAACAAGCGTCTATCCCGCGCCTATGTTTCATGTATCCAGTACAGCTGGTGTTGGAATCAGGTGGAAGCTAATCTGAACCGGGCGTCACAAAGCGACATCAGCACTGACGGATCTCGTTACATTGACTAAAGATATTCTCGAATACATGACACGTTTTATGGATAACAACTTCTTTTTAATTTTTTACACGACGTTTAAGAGCTAATTCTTGCTCCTTCAGCATTCAGCTCATAAAACGTGTCATGTATTCATGTTCGTCCAACTTCTAAATGCCTTTCAAAACTTTAAAGATAGTCTCAGCCAAATATCGCCTAATTCGGTTAAGGTTGAAACTGGGCTTTTATGGTCAGTTAATTCCCTTGCATCTGGAGTATGTTCTGATGGCTGTCTCGTGTCTTCAACTCCAGGCAGCTACTTTGTATTTATACAGTTGCATTGTATGTGTTTCGGGTTTTGCCAAATGTTAACCTTGATCAACGCTGATTTCAATCCTATCGACCGATGGTTGTCAGCTGACCCTATTTGAATTTTGAATTTTATAATTTAAATATTAATGCTCAGCTGTACATAAAATGTCAGCACCAGAGAATTATGCGCCTTACCTGGCGGTAGTCCCAGATTTCCTTGTAGGTGCTGACAGAATCAGTGAAGTTGCTGCTGAAGGCGTACCTCTCGTTGTATGCGTCATAGCTATAGTATTGCCGGCTCTGAGCAGAGAAGAGACTTGATTAGACATGAAACAAAAGGTCTTTTGTTGTTCAGGAACATGACAATCCTGTGATTATGTGCAACCATTCACATACCTAGAGGTAGGAAGCAAGTGATAACACTTAACCGACTGTTCCAATGAATCATTACGTGCGACTTGGGATCATCTAGAGTGAGTGAGTGGGTGAGTGAGTGATTTTAGTTTTACGCCCCTTTTAGCAATATTCCAGCAATATCACGGCGGGGGACACCAGAAATGGGCATCACACATTGTGCCCATGTGGGGAATCGAACATGACGAGCGAACGCTTTAACAACTAGGCTACCCCACCGCCACGGATCATCTCTAACCCGGGATCCTTTCAGTGTAGATTAGATAGGGATCCTGTCAGTGTAGATTAGATATGGATCCTCTAAGTGTAAAATAGATAAGACTTACACGTTGTGAGTCATGATTTGACGCACGTCCTATTGGTTTACCACTTTGGTGGAACTAACGACCTCCAGGAACTCAAGAATAATGGCAGGATACGCTAAGGACAGAGGTCTAGCACTGTGGTTAAGCGTCCGTGATTTTGAAAAAGGATACACGTGGAAGAGGTAGGGTAAGTAACACCTGACCGACAGTTCCGATAAATCGTCTATCACGACAAGCATAGGCTGTTGGGGTCAACTTTTAACCAGGACCCTTTCAGTGTGGACGTTAAAATAAATTTAACACGAACATGTCATGATATGACGCAGCTCCCCCTTATGGTGGGTCAGAAACTAGAATGTATCCATTCTGTTAGAGGTTAATGGTATTAATGCACTTGCGTGCAGGCACGCGCTTACAGTTGCTTTCGAAAGTCATTCTATAAGGAACAAATTCAGACAAAATCTGAAATATATTTTCTATAGGTTATAGGTTATCCCTTGCATACCACATTCCCCATACTAATTTATAGCTTTAACAGTTATCACGAGTTTTAATATGTCATTTGTACATTGTAAAACCAGAACAAGCAGATTAGATTTAGATTACCCCTCAAAAAACCCACAAAGTTTGATAACAAAACCCAAATCGAATGTTAAAGGTGTTGAATTATCCAGTGTCCGGTTTAATGGAGTGTATTGAATTATATTTGCTTTGTCAGAGCATTTTATAAATAATGAAAGCATTGTGAAAGCACACACCCGAGGAATGAATTTTGAAAAGATAATACATCGGTACAAGTTCTGTCGGTAATATTCGGCGCTCGATACTGCTGAGCTGGAGAACCAGGTGAATGTCATGATTTTGAATTTATAAAATTCCTAAACTTTCTCTCAGATAACAAAGATAAATATCGTTTATGAAGAATGGGGGGAGACTACTGAAGTATTTTTTAATCACGCCACAACCAGGATGATTAACTTTCTCATTGAAACAAAACATAGAGACCGAGAATTGAACAAGCCAGTTTAAGTTTGGAAAGTATAATAATCCCATCTTAGTGTTAGTCCCGTTGGTGATATTGTTAATAAAGTGAATTAAAGTTAATTTAATCTGTATTAAAGTACTTACACGTTGTCCACCTGAGGGATCGATAATTGTGAAGTCTTTGAAAGCTTCCCATTGCAGAGGAGCACAGCAGATGGTACCATGGGCCACAATCGCCAGACTGGCGAGTAGAACTGCCTGCAGCATCATGTTGAGGAGTCGTCAAGTCTTCAGTCAACCGGGAAGCCTTCTGTCGCCGAGTCGTGGATAGGGTGAATGCCGGCTGCCTTTTATGTACACTGTGAAGCATCCTTCAAGGTCACCCGGCCCCTGGATGACCTGTACGTGTATGAGAGTGTAATGCATCACTTCTTTACATAGCATCAGACTTAAAACTACATCGTGCATTTGTGTAAGTTCGTGGTTTGGATTTCATGACATCAGCCTCACATATGGAAACAGTGTGCGATATAGCCACTGGCCCGCTAGCCCGTATATCTCCACAGTCACTGGCCCGACTGGCTAGTGAATTTTCATGGAGTCATTTTGTAAAAATAGCACCCTCTCGGAGTTTTTGAGTTAATAAAAACACTTTTAATTCCTGCAAGATTATGGTCTGATAAAAATGTTCATCATATTAGCAGGTTAATGATGTAACCCGTGTCTACATTTCGGTCTGGTGAATTATGTTGTAGGCTAGTAACGATCAGGCATAGCACAATAGACTGACCAGCACAATTTGGAACCTATTTCGCACACTGTATGCAAAGTTTCTTTCGTCTTAGTTTCTCGTCTTAAAAGTGTATATTACTGAACCCCCCCCCCCCAAAAAAAAAGCATATGTTTTCATGGTTTATTATTATGTGAAAGGACTTGTATTATATCATATCAAGAAGTATCGATGTATCATATGTATGTATCATCATCATCTTCATGTTTCGGGGCGGTGGGGTAGCTTAATGGTTAAAGCGTTGGCTCGTCTAGCCGAAGACCCGGGTTCGAATCCCCACATGGGCACAATGTGTGAAGCCCATTTCTGGTGTCCCCCGCCGTGATGTTGCTGGAATATTGCTAAAAGCGGCGTAAAACCAAACTCAATCAGTCAGTCTTCATGTTTCACAGATTTAAATAGATGAATGCAACAGACCGTTCGAGTGATTATTATTTTATTATTCCCCACTATGTACATAATCCCAAGTGCTAGCAATGCGTGTATCTTTTCAGATTTGCGAGTATGATTAAGAATTTGAAATTTCTAACAATGAAAGTCTAATTAATTTTATATGTCTTTAAGTTTGGAATGTACAGACATTTTCACTTGATGGCTACAATCTGTTAGTTTATCTGTACAATACATATACATATAACATTCCCATGTCTCTTTAAAAAGAGAAATTTAGATAACTTTTAGATTACGTTGCGTTTAAGAATTGTTCGTGTGGTACACCAGTTTTCAGTCTTAGAAGGGTGTAAAATTAAAATATAAGGGCAGATAACAGCATCGCCTATTGTATCGAGTTAATGATTTTATTTACATGCACAAAATGTTAACGAAAACTACCTGAATATTCCTGGCAGGCATAGGCAATCGTCTTTCTAAGCCAGGAAGATAAAGTGTTCTTTGAGATCTTAGTATCCATGTTGATTTTACAAGATAGGAATAGTCGACGACCATTCTGCCTGAAACTGTGTCGTGCGCTGAAGATACCAACGTAAGGACAAAGAAGTCTAGACTTGTCTGATCGGAGAGACGAGACTGGAAGAGCAGGAATCTTGGACACTCTTGTAACATTTATTATCTGGAATGATCTCATAAGTTTATGGAGGGAGCTGTTAGATCGAACACCTAATCCTTGAATATCACAAACTGAGGCGATCGCGGATCTGTATCATTCGATGGTGCCATATCTGAGATTCCTTTCCTTCCTGAGATAGAGTAAGAAAATGGCAATTTGGGGAATAGTAATGGGAGAGTCTAAGAGCTGATGCTGTCGTCTCCACTCGACGAATTGCTTCCGTTTAATATTGTACACTGAAGCTGTGAAGATCTGATTGACTGAGAGATAGCCAGTGTGTTCCCGTTGCAAATCCTGGTTGTTCGAGTGAAGTGCGGATAACTTCCATGCATGCAGTTGTTGCAGGTTCCCGTGACGGCGACTCGATTCTGGTTGAGTGAGTAAATTGTGCCAAGTTGGGAGAAGCAACGGCGAGTCGATGAGGAGATCTAGTAGTGTCGGGAACCACGTCTTTTAGGTACACTATGCTGGTAGATCTTGCTGAGCCCTTCCGGAACCAACGTGAAGAGGGGAAAAGCGTACGTCGTCATGTTGTCTCAGGTAACTGAGAGAGTATCCACTGCCCAAGCTAGGCGGTCTGGAACCGGACTGACGTTCAATCCAGGTGCATATTCATCAGCTTCCGAATCCATGGAAGGGACTGTCAACAAACCCTCTCGTATAACAATCTCTGGATGAAACGGTCAAACATGCCGCCCGTGGCTAAGGTCGACGACCGCTGAGCTTTCTTGAGCTTGCATTCGACACACACACACACACACCAAAAAAGTCACCAAAACTGTCACAAAAGTCACAAAAGTCACAAAAGTAAATAAATACGATTGTCGCACCAACAAATGCGATTGTACTGACCAATCTGTTAACTTGATCTTGAAAATTCAGTGTCAGCAAGTCACAGAAGAAAAACTTTTCCAAATTCCTGGATACGTCATGTGAGTAACACATATAGAAAATGTGTTTGATGTTTGAAAGGGCGCGCTCTGATGTCACGAATTAAGGGGAGATAATTCCATATAGTAAGGGACATACCACTAGGGAACTACGACTCCATGAACTTGTTTTTCTTTCCATGTTTCTGTATGTGTCTGTGGTAACCACAGGGAATCCAGAGGGACTGTTTACGCCTATAACTGCCCCAATTCTTCGGGATGTCGAGTTAAATAATTCTCAATGTTAGTGCACAATTGCAAATGTGTATTTCGAAAAAAATCGAATGTTGGAATAAGAGGTTGTAAGTTGCATGTTGCAAAGGTCACGTCTTTATAAACTACGTTCATGAATTTTTAACATCCAATTCAAACCTAATTTCTAGTAATTTCCAACCGATAACACTCATTGTCGGTAACGGCAAATTGCAAATGTGACGTTTACGAAGCTTTAAAGATTTCCTCAAATTTACAGGTTCATAATACGTTATACCATCGTTCGTCACATGAGCATGGTATTGACAAGTGCACAAACTCACGTATGTATGGTACAACCTATACTTGATAATTTACAACCTTGGAATACATAGAGGATATTTTGTTAATGTTGTCAAATAACATGTATTTCATCGAGTGGTCAGACAAAGTTGATATGTTCACTCGTGCCTGAGGTAAGTGGCTATATTTACACTAGTGAGTCTAAAATTTGGTGGGAAATATACAATAAGGGCAGCAATGTTATGATATGTTCAGATCTACTTCCATCTTCGATAATCTCCAGGGTATACGTTACGATCACTCTCCACTATACCCTGGATGCATCCACGGCTTGGCCCGATGATTGTATTACCTCCCTTTGCTGGCTTTTTATCCAATTAGGTGTCTACGCTGGGAAGTTGAGCGAACCAATCACAACTCTTCTTCGCTTCTTAAATTATCTAACCGTTTAAACGTGGCAACACAATTGATGCAGAGGTACTCTGAAAGAGGTAGAAGGAGTTCTTTCATATATTTTTGTTAAAGTTTCAGATCTGAGTGGCACTGCGAACAAACCTTCGCGACTGCGACCGCTATCTTTGTTGACGCTGGCAAGCTCGGATGTAACGGCGGCTTAGCTGATTGGCTACTGTGAGAATGCGGAGCCAGCAAAGGGAGGTAATAAAATCACCGGGCCAATCCCCGAAGGATGCATCCAGGGTATAGTGGAGAGTGACCCCCGTAACGTATACCCTGCAATATTCCAGCTATATGGCGGTGGTCTGTAAACAATCAAATCTGGACCAGACAATCCAGTGATCAACAGCATGAACATCGATCTACGTAATTGGGAGACGACGACATGTGTCAACCAAGTCGGTGAGTCTGACCACCCGATCCCGTTAGTCGCCTCTTACGACAAGCATGGGCTACTAAAGATCAATTCAAACCCGAATCTTCACGGGCGACACAGGAAGTTAAGAGTTGAATGAGCAGAGGAGCGTTGGGGTAGTCTAATGGTTAAAGCGTTGGCTCGTCACGCTGAAGACCCGGGTTCGAATCCCCACATGGGCACAATGTGTGAAGCCCGTTTCTGGTGTCCCCCGCCGTGATGTTGCTGGAATATTGCTAAAAGCGACGTAAAACCAAACTCAGTCAATCAGTCAGTTGAATGAGCAGAAGGTAGATCCTGAGTTCTAGTCCGTGGAAATATTATTTCTTGTTTTCGGGTCAGCGGCAAAATTACAATTGGTCAGGCGATGAGAAACACGGAAATAAAAGATACATATTATTAATACATTCTAGAGTTTCAGGTTTATTCGCATGCTTTGTATTGCACTTAGGGTGTTCCCATATGCGTTTCCATCAGTATATTTCAATTTATTCCTGGATGACTTTTGATATCATGAAAACGTTATCTCGGCAAACAGTGACTAATGTATTCATCTAACACGATGGCGGCCGAGTTTAAATCTCCACGTACAAGTTCTCACGGAGAAGCATTAATTTAAACAGCAAAATGATTAAATATTCAGGATATTTAAGCCGAGAAACTGTATGGATGACAACGTCTTTGTGACATTATGATGCAGTATAATGTCTTTAATATTATTTATCAGCTTCTAAAATGCAAATCAAAGAGAAATATTTAGAAGGTTTTAAAAAGGTTGTTAAACTCTTTTGCAACTCGTTTCCTTGGCCCATTAACAGGTGTTTCAACTGTGGTGAATAATAATGTCAAACCGCATCCTGTCTTAACACATGTGCCTGAGTTATGAGCCAGTTGAAGTTACAAACTGGGACGCTTACCATTTGTCCTGCTTCTGCAAACCATGCCCTACTAACAGGTTCTGTATGAGGACGTACTTTCAATTACGTAGGTACACGTTCCTATTATATTTAGTAAAGTACAGATTCTAGTACTTCTTTGGTCCCATCCGGGATTCGAACCCACAGTCAGGCACCTAATCGCCAGCACATACAGTCAGCCGCCAATATGTACTTTACTAAGAAAGTGTAATCCCAAATATAACGTATGTTACATTTGACCACTTTCTAAATGGCATTGTGTAATCATAGCTTTCGGTCGTGGGAGCCGTGCCAATTTACACTTATATAGGGGTACACAAAGTCCGCAGTCTTGACTACCAGTTGTCCGTCTTCCATTTTCGTGAAAGTCGCGGTGGCTGAGCGGGTTAGGCGGCTTTGTGTGCTGGCAATTAGGTGCCTGACTCTGAGGGTGTTGGTCCAAATCCCGGATGGGACTCAACCCCCAAACGTACTAGAATTTGTACTTTACTAAGGAAGTGTAATCCCAAATAAAACATATGTTGTTATTGTAGCCTTCACAGTTAATTGTTTTTAACAGCCCAAGGTTCTCAATCGCGGGTGGGATAGAGGACTGCAAGATTACAGTAAGACTACTACAGCCACGACTGGCTGGCTGACTGAGTTTGGTTTTACGCCGCTTTTAGCAATATTCCAGCAACATCACGGCGGGGGACACCAGAAATGGGCCTTACACATTGTACCCATGTGGGGATTCGAACCCGGGTCTTCGGCGTGACGCTTTAACCATTAGGCTACCCCACCGCCCCACTACAGCCACGAGGACTCGGGAAGATGAGTAATGTATCCGGTACAGATGACAGTCGGTATCGTGTCGAGACTTTGTATTTTCAGTTCGATGCATAATCAAACTCGTTATCTGAACTGTATCTACTTGTTGTGTGACCTTCCTGCATTTGGGTAGTTCCGACATTCACTATATGTCAGGTCCTTGTGATATGTTTTCACTGGACCTCGGACCGCCTCCGTGGTGTAGTGGTTAGAGCGTCCGCCCGGAGAGCAGAAGGTCGATGGTTCGATCCCCGACCGCGTCATACCAAAAGACGTTAAAATATGGTACTTGTTGGTCCCTGCCTGACGCTCGGCATTAATGAGTACAACAAGGACTGGTCGGCTCGGAGTCAGTATAATGTGTCTGAGTGGGGTATTCATGCTTCACTGCGGCATGGTATCTCAGTGGGCTAGCACTATACAACCAGCTTAAGTCTGGGCTAGTAAAAGCAGCCGCACATACACATACACACGCATGCACGTCGTCATATGAGCGAAATAATCTCAAGCACGACGTTATACCCAATTTCACCTCACCTCAGCTCATCTCCGAGCTCTGGTATTTATTTTGTCACAAAAACAACACAACAATATACGAGTGCTTCGGTGATATTAGTACCATTGGAATAAAAAATGAAATAGAGTTATCCTTCCTGTTAAAAGTAGTTTTGATGTTAATGCGCCAATATGAAATCCTCCCAGAGGGGCACGAGTCGCTATTCGGCTTGTTCCGGAATAACACGAGTTGGTCACGAATGCTGCAAGTTCTTGAAAGTATTAAATGCACACGAGGGGTTAACAAATGGCTTGACGGGCCCTTACTAAGTACACTGATTCTGGACATGCGCACTGCGCGCTACGTATTTCGAAACAATTTCACGTGCAAAACGTGCAAGTTTGTACCTGCAAGCTTCAGAAACTGTGAAATACACAAAAAGGGCCAAACAAATGGTTTCATAGGCCCTTAATTTGAACATTGAGTGTAGGCATGCGCACTACTCGTTTCAGCTTCTCTTTCTTGGCAGCTGTCCACGAGGAAAGATGCACCTCGGTGAGTGCTTCGAAGATTTTGTAACTGAAGTGCCCGATATTTTGTTGATCGATATAGGTTGATAGCTTAAATTTATCTCAACAATTTATATAGAGGTTTAAAGATCCTGTAAACAGAGAATGTGTACAGAAGTTGGTATTTGGGACTTGCGCTCGCAACACACGTGTATTTACATAAATGTATAGAGAAAAGGAAACGTTTTCATGGTTGTCTGTCAGAACGCAAACGTTGATTTAGTTGAATCAGTGCGAAAATTACAATGTAAACTACGAGTAAACTGTCAGATATGAGGTTTGTGTTTGTGTTTGGTATATATTTTCTGTCTAATACTCAAACAGACATGTACTGTGTTTAATGTGGTCCGTAAAAAAATATATAATTCTCACTTTCGCTGGAAAGTCCACATAACATCAAACGGGTTAAAAGTGTAACGTAGGTGTATGGGCCAGTTTACATGGCAACGAAGGTGTATGGGCCAGTTTACATGGCAACGAAGGTGTATCGGCCAGTCTACATGGCAACGGCCAGTCTTTTCGGCAACGTAGGTGTATCGGCCAGTCTACATTTCAACGAAGGTGTTTTGGCTAGTCTACATGGCAACCTAGTTGTATCTACCAGTCTTCTCGGCAACGTAGGCCAGTCTACATTTCAACGTAGGTATATTGGCCATTCTACATGGCAACATGGCAACGTGGATATTGGCCATTCTACATGGCAACGGCAAGTCCCAATGGCAGCGTAGGTGTATCGGCCAGTCTACATGGCAACGGGCAGTCTACATGGCAACGTAGGTGTATCGGCCAGTCTACATGGCAACGTAGGTGTATCGGCCAGTCTACATGGCAACGTAGGTGTATCGGCCAGTCTACATGGCAACGACCAGTCTACATGGCAACGTAGGTGTATTGGCTATTGTACATGGCAACGTAGGTGTATCGGTCATTCTACATGGCAACGTAGGTGTATCGGCCAGTCTTCATGGCAACGTAACCCGTGACCGTCCGGGTTAGAATATTGATCTTCAGTAACCCATGCTTGTGAGAGCCGACTTGGTTGACAAATGTCATCGGTATCCAATTGCGCAGATCAATGCTCATGCTGTTGATCACTTGATTGTGTGGTCCAGACTTGATTATTTACAGACCGCCGCCATATAGCTGGAATATTGAGTGCGGCGTAAAAGTAAACTCACTCACTCATGGCAACGTAGGTGTGTCGGCCAGTCTACATGACAACGTAGGTGTATCGACCAATCTGCATGGCAACGTAGGTGTATCGGCCAGTCTACATGGCAACGTAGGTGTATCGACCAGTCTACATGGCAACGTAGGTGTATCGACCAGTCTACATGGCAACGTAGGTGCATCGACCAGTCTACATGGCAACGTAGGTGTATCGACCAGTCTACATGGCAACGTAGGTGTATCGACCAGTCTACATGGCAACGTAGGTGTATCGACCAGTCTACATGGAAACGTAGGTGTATCGACAAGTCTACATGACAACGTAGGTGCATCGACCAGTCTTCATGGCAACGTAGGTGCATCGACCAGTCCTCATGGCAACGTAGGTGCATCGACCAGTCCTCATGGCAACGTAGGTGCATCGACCAGTCCTCATGGCAACGTAGGTGCATCGACCAGTCCTCATGGCAACGTAGGTGCATCGACCAGTCAACATGGCAACGTAGGTGCATCGACCTGTCAACATGGCAACAACGTAGGTGTATTGGCTATTGTACATGGCAACGTAGGTGTATCGGCCAGTCTACATTTCAACGTAGGTGTTTTGGCTAGTCTACATGACAACGGCCAGTCTACATGGCAACGTAGGTATATTGGCCATTCTACATGGCAAAGTAGGTGTATCGGCCAGTCTACATGGCAACAAGTCGCAATGGCAGCGTAGGTGTATCGGCCAGTCTACATGGCAGCGGGCAGTCTCAATGGCAACGTAGGTGTATCGGTCATTCTACATGGCAACGTAGGTGTATCGGCCAGTCTTCATGGCAACGTAACCCCGTGAGCGTCCGGGTTAGAATATTGATCTTCAGTAACCCATGCTTGTGAGAGCCGACTTGGTTGACAAATGTCATCGGTTTCCAATTGCGCAGATCAATGCTCATGCTGTTGATCACTTGATTGTGTGGTCCAGACTCGATTATTTACAGACCGCCGCTATATAGCTGGAATATTGAGTGCGGCGTAAAAGTAAACTCACTCACTCATGACAACGTAGGTGTATCGGCCAGTTTACATGGCAACATAGGTGTATCGGCCAGTCTACATTGCAACGTAGGTGTATCGACCAATCTGCATTGCAACGTAGGTGTATCGACCAGTCTACATGGCAACGTAGGTGCATCGACCAGTCTACATGGCAACGTAGGTGCATCGACCAGTCTACATGTCTACATGGACCAGTCTAATGGCAACGTAGGTGCATCGACCAGTCTACATGGCAACGTAGGTGCATCGACCAGTCTACATGGCAACGTAGGTGCATCGACCAGTCTACATGGCAACGTCAGGTGCATAGGTGCATCGACCCGTGTCTACATGGCAACGTAGGTGCATCGACCAGTCTACATGGCAACGTAGGTGCATCGACCAGTCTGTAGGCATCGACCAGTCTACATGGCAACGTAGGTGCATCGGTTTCCAATTGCAGATCAACGTAGGTGCATCGACCTGTCAACATGGCAACGTAGGTGTATCGACCTGTCAACATGGCAACAACGTAGGTGCATCGACCAGTCTACATGACAACGTAGGTGCATAGACCAGTCCTCATGGCAACGTAGGTGCATCGACCAGTCCTCATGGCAACGTAGGTGCATCGACCAGTCCTCTTGGCAACGTAGGTGCATCGACCAGTCCTCATGGCAACGTAGGTGCATCGACCTGTCAACATGGCAACAACGTAGGTGCATCGACCAGTCCTCATGGCAACGTAGGTGCATCGACCAGTCTACATGGCAACGTAGGTGCATCGACCAGTCCTCATGGCAACGTAGGTGCATCGACCAGTCCTCATGGCAACGTAGGTGTATCGGCCAGTCCTCATGGCAACGTAAGTGTATCGACCAGTCCTCATGGCAACGTAGGTGCATCGACCTGTCAACATGGCAACGTAGGTGTATTGGCTATTGCACATGGCAACGTAGGTGTATCGGCCAGTCTGAATGGCAACGTAGGTGTATTGGCCAACATGGCAACGTAGGTGTATTGGCCAACATGGGAACGTAGTTCAGTATATTTCAGTCATGTGACAGAAAAAATGTTTTCTTATTAATTAACTATACCTGAAGGCAAAAGTTATTGTGATTGTGTAGATATGTGAAGTAACAAGAGATATTTTAATGATTAGGCATTTTTAATATCGCAAGAAAATCATTCCACAATAGGTGTTCCGGTTTCAAGCATTCCAGTGGCTTTCATTTTCGGTTAGCCTTAGCATCGAGAAATGCATGCAGATTCTTCCAAATTTGTGTTTTGCGGACCCGTTGACGTCTAAACCACTGGTAGGGAACTTGGTTTCAGGGAGAGAGGAGTCTTTGTGATTTAAGCAACTGCAAGGCGGGTGGATATTTGAAATAAATGTCCTGTAGACGTCTAAAATCAACTTTATAAGGAAATTAATTCCACGTTGACCTCAATGCTATGTTCCTTTCAAAAAAGGATTGAATAAATTATTGTAACATGAAAAGTCAGCTTTCTGATTGGGTTCACCTCCCACTTTAAAGAAGCACGTGCTCTCTTATCAGCGAAAAGACGCATTTTTACAGTACAAGAAGAAATTATTGAGAATTTAAGATTGTAATTTATTTTATTTTTTTCACTCATTACTCACGTATTAAATGTAAATATTAGCAGAACATAACTCCAGAATCAAATCGGACCACCTCTTCTTTCATTTCAGCAATAGTTGTCAGATTTTTCTTATTGACACTTTCCTTCATAAGTCCCCAAACATTTTCTATTGGATTTGGGTCAGGGCTATAGCTTGGCCAATCTAATAATGTCATATTTGGGGTCCGAAACCAGGCCCCACACGTTTACTTTCGGACTGTACTTTGGGCGCTGGTACAAAGGTTTCTCAGTTTGTTTGGTTGGTCCAGAATTTCAGTGTATTAGGAAACAGCCACACAGAACTTTCATCTGAGAAAATCACATTGTCCCAGTTAAAATCTCTATGCTGTAAGCACCAGTTCAACCTTCCCTCTTTTTGTTCAGGTTTCATGATCGGTGATGGAATTCCTCGACATTTCTGCAGCTCAGTTGTCTCTCTTGAATAAAACCAAGCACTTGGTAGCTGGTCAAGGTTGTTTATACTAAAGTACTGTCGGAAATAGAAAAAAACTGTTTTTAGGCTGTTACTCTGGATCCCTAAAATTTACACAATTGCAAATAGCGTATGTCGAAATAACCCACTTCGGCCTAACTGGGCGTTCAGTGGGATGCGTAATAGGATATCCAGAAAAGCATGTTGACTCGTAAAATCGGGAAAAACTAAGAATAGTTGCTGAAAACAATAGATCAGACTATAGATGGCAATTAGGTCGCTCAGCCAGGTATGACGGCGGACCGTCGACTCACCTGGCATGAAATGCACGTGCTGCCTGCAGGCACAAGGGGTCATCTCAAAGATATTTTGTGCTTTTCAATGTGTGTTGACTGTCTTATCTATTGATTAACATCTTACGTGTCTTTCTTTCATATAGTTTATGTTGATATGTAAAAGAGTATGATACCTGAAAACCATAGAAACGCATCGTAGTATATAGGTGGTATGACCACCCGAAGATCGACTGGACTGGATATTATTTGTAAATTGTTATGACGTGCCGTGTACCTCCCCAGTATAATTGCCCTAAAGGATTATCTTATCTTAGCTGATATCTCTATCCCCAAGCCCGACCCCAGGTTTTGCTTTTGAGACAGCCCCTCCTATCTGTTTCTTTTTATAGTGACAGTGAGACTGCATGGTAGCTACATCCTTAATAGTTTCGGCATAAAAGTTATTATTTTTTACGTCAGCTATCGTTTATAACGAATCTACGTCTAATTTCAAATTGGGCATTTAAAAAGTGTCCTTTGTAATACAATATCGTCGCACACTAATTTGTATAAAGCTATGGTCTGTTCCAAATAAGTCTTTTTGGACGTAGAAAAAAACCGCATTGCTCATTTCTGCACTAATTTCCCCTCAGTAAAGTCCTTTTTCTTCACCACCGAGACTGTGGAGATAAATGAGAAAATACAGGTTTTTGTCTATTTCCGACAGTACTATAGGAATCCAATTAAACATATTCCTAAAATTCTCAATTTCTGGTCATACTATAAAAATGAAAGACTGAAATTGATGCAAGGGAAAGGTCACAGATAATTCACAATCACAAAAATGGAATTGACGGGACAATTTGTAAGCTCTTGTTCATGAATCGGAATTGGACGTTTCTATTGATGTATCAGTTGTGTCTAAAGATCATCTGAATGTTTGATATTGACTGAATATATAATGTTCACCTTTCGTCTCAAGTGTTCCATGTCAGGACAATGCTGACTAGAATTGGCCAATTTTCACTGATTTTAATTTACTGAACTCATGACTAATATTTTCAACGTTACGAATTTGTTTTACAATACACCAGTTCATGTGTAAACAGTACCTTTAAACATTATGGCATATGTTGCATTTTAGTTTAGAACAGTTGCCTGAAGTAAGTGGCTATATTTACACTAGTAAATAAATACTTGGACAAATTTAAGAAGTATATTTGTATGTGTTCCACATTGTGAGTTGCAATCACTTGCAGGTACTCATTAAACATGGTATATAGTCATGCTTTCAGAATGTAAAAACTGGAGAACTGTACATGATGCACACCAAATTTCCCTTGACATAATGAAGAAATCATCATGTCTTGTTCATGTGGGCGACTTAAAATTACCTGATGCCACACCATTTATTGGCCAAGTAAATGTTTAAATACAACAACAACTTTCTGCCTTCTCCTGAATGAACACACAATGATAGGAATTCTCCGTTACCATCAACTGTCAATCTCAAATTTTCAGTTGCCAGTGTTAAAGACTGACATTTTTGAAATATAATTTTAGTGAAATTGATGTTGAAATATTGATATAGCAAAGACTCTGTGACAAAGTTTATGTCGCAAAAGTCACAAGACTCCATTCTCACTGTAACCAAGTTCCCTTTCAGTGTAAACAGTGACTTGAGTGACAATGATTCGAGGTTTAGATGGTGTTTCGGCCCATATTTCAGGGAGAGGAATTCGTGAAATAATTGTATTAAATCGTAACAACGCACGCACTCAGCCCGTGTATTGTACTTTAACAGCGGCAAGTTCAAGATCTAGTGCACGGACAAACATCCATTATGGCGGATTCATGAGGACTGTACACTTGCCCTCATATAAAGTAAGGGAGTATTTTCTTTGTCGATGCAATCACAAGGTCAACTCTTTAAGCCGTGCGAGATACGTGAAGTAATGTGGTAATGCTCCACGGCATGAATCCGACACTCTTCTTTCTGACGTTTAGTGACCTCGTTCGTTCCTTTAATGCCCATTTACTTTTTTAATGGCTTTTTTCGTCCCATGAAAACTTAATATTATAAGCGTGATTTTCGAAACATCATACAATACCACTTGCTATTTAACTAACAATTATTCAGACGTTCAAAATGGCTAGAATATCAAATACATTAGGCCATTCTATACGATGGCAGATAATAGTGATTTTACGGGTACGTCGTTTTGTCCTCCACACGGATATTCTTGTACGTGATCGCGGGCATCTTCCCAAAGGAAGAGTGTCCTTCGCCTAATTGTCAGCACAAGGTGCCTTTATTGCGGCAATCGACCCGTGCAGGTTAGGGTTAGAACTGACATGTCATCGTATACCGATTGCGTAGATCGACGATGCTAATGATCACTGGATTGTCTGGTCCAGACCGACGGCACATGCTGAAATATAGCTGAGTGCTGCGTAAAACTGAAACAATTTATTTTTGCGGTAATCTGTCATTCTGTTGGGGATTTGTTTCGAAACTTAAGGAGCGTACGAAAGGACAAACTTGTTTTATGAAGGTCAGGAGATCTCTTAAGGAGTCAGAAAATGGACCGCGAACCTTACAAATCGGCAAGAGGTGAAGGTTGTTTTAAGGCTACTTTATCAATGACATGTTCAACCCAGTGTATTCAACTGTGAGGTCAGTCTTGTGTGTTTTTGTCCCCCGCCTTGATATATTAAATATCGTCTTCGGTTCCCAATTGCGCAGATTGATTACAGATCGCCGCAATATATCTGGAATCTGATCAATAATGAATTATATAGAATTGAAGGAAACGGGTTTCGTGTCGCTTTTTCATCGGAGTTTATTTTTTTCGTTTCAGGGGAATCTTACACCCCCAGTAACGCAAGTCGACCAGTCCAACACCAGATGTCGGCCGGTGTAACATTGGTTCAAGATCTAGTGCAGGCGTGACACTTTCTCAGACAAACATCCGTCATGGCTCATGTCACTCAGATCCAGAACTGGAAAGTAATAATAAAGCCTGATCCGAGAAATTAATGCTACCGGACAGAACCATCTCCAAGGTCACAAATTCCACTGTACTGGATCATTTCAATAAAAGCTGCGAACAGACCTGACTGTTTTTATTTCAGTAAAGCTGCAAAATTACAGAGCTGGCTCGTGTAGGTCGGCAAACCACACAATCAATACCTGAAAATGAGTCCCGTTACACTAGTGAGTATTTTGTATTTTGGAGGGAGCTAAAATAATATGAACTTTTCTACTGGAGATATGAATAATGGTAAATCTCCAGGTTTGGTCGAGCGAGTTTTATTTACTCCAAAACTATTTTAAATTAAACACGTTTCTGGGATCCTTACTTTGCTCCAACGAAACTTTAATGGATTGACCCCTACTGGGTGTATTTGGACCTGTTCAGGGTGACAGAGGCTGATATTGGGCCTTGTCTACAAGGAAGGTCAGTAAATATTCCAAAATTTGAATTCAAAATGTTCCTACATTTTCTCCAGTAACTACTGATGTTATGGTGTCAAATAGCAGAGATGCCAACCCCAAAGTGTTGCAAATAGTAGTTTCAAGGATCAAACTTAGTTGACTACTAATTTTATGGTCAAACTACTAAATAATTAAAATCATGATGGATTCTGAGGAAGATAATGACACTAATCAAGTGTGAAGATAATTTCACATACCTCCAAAAGCAGATTTCCAAACAGTCACTTGCGATGATTCCAGTTCAAATATGTCATTAAATTTGATGTACGGAAGGTAACTGAAGTCCAAAAATGTATTTAATCGACGACAATATGTTTTTGTTTATACACACAATACTGTCACTTTGGAAAGCACAACCCCTGCCCTTGCGATCGTTCAAAAAAATTAAACGGCTATTGAAACGCATAGCATGCCAAGGCTTACGTCTGCACAACGTCATGAGGCCATTGGTATGGTCCGTGGGGGAATGTCTCAACGACAAGTGACTGCACATTTCCACTGCCACCGGAACATCATTTCTGCACTGGTGTGAGGCTACCAGAACACAAATGACGTCATCGATCGGCCACGTTCTGGACCTCCACGTGTAACAACGCCAAGACAGGACAGATGGATAAGGGTGACCCATCTTCGCCACAGGTTTCAGACTGCAGCGATAACTGCCCGAACCATCCCAGGACTTCTTTATATGGCTAGTATATATAAATGAAACTGGCAGTGACGCAACAACACATAAAGGAGGGGTCACGTGCAGTCAATATCGTGTGTCCACCGTGCTTGCAGTCTCCGGGGCATTGAAAGACACAAATTTCTCAGGAACATCTGTGGGATGGTCTGCCAGTGATGTTTAAGGGCCTTGGTCAATTCCGCAACTGTCCTTGGTGGCACAAGTTGATTTCGAACTCGCGGTGCAAGTTCATCCCACACATGCTCGATTGGGTTCATGTCTGGGGACAATGAAAAACAGTCCATCACACGAACATTCTCATTCAAAAAGTCCCTTGTTACCCTGGCTGCATGGGGACATGCATTATGCTGAAACACAAAATGGTTACGACCGCCATGTTGAGTACAGCTGGACGAAGGATATTGTTTACATAACATTGAGCATTCAGATTGCCGATTGCCGTTAACCACTACCATATGGGATTGGAAGATGGCATTGACAGCACGCCAGATCATGACATGACATGACACCACCCCTACCGAAATGGTGATGTTGAAGGACACAGGTTGGCGCAAGTCATTCTCCTCGACGTCGATAAATCCGTTGACGTCCATCTGCAAAGGATACGTTAAACCTGGATTCATCTGAAAAAGGGACATCTTGCCACTGCCAGTTGCCACGATTGGCCCCATTAGTTGCCCATCGCTGTCTGGTAAATCTGTGGCGATGCAATAAGGTTGTCCCACGGTACGGGCGACGACACCGGATGTTGAACGCAGCAAGACGTCCTCGCACCGTTTGGGTGCTGACGTGACGTTGTGTTGTCCTATCAGCAGCTGTTTGGAACCGAGTTGTCCGAGTCGACGACCAGTTGATGGAATGCCTGGCAATCATCACATCTGAAGCACCTTAGCTGACCATACCGATAGCCTTATTCCTTTCGTCTTGTGTCAAGCGTGGTATTTTCACAACGGGCCAGAATAACCCTTTATCCCTACATCCTCTGCATTGCAGGAAAAAATCTTCCAATCGTTCCAGCACAACAAATACCAATTGCGTTCTCAATGGCTTGACAATCTTGCTCGTTGATCTATTATGCATACAAAATGAGAAATATAGAAATGGGTATTAAAATTCTAAAACATTGCAGTACAGCTATACATATATGTTACTGATATATTTCACTGTGGGTGTAAAATAATCTATGCAGGTAGACGGGTAAATGTTATGAATTTTTAAGAAATTGTTTCCTCTTTTCGTTCACGTTTTCATACATAGAAATATGTATATTAATATGTATATGGGCCTGTGGCCTTAGTACGATTTTGATGATATTCGTAAAGAGCGCTCCAAGGGATATAACTATGGGTCTCGCTTGAAATAACGTTCGGCCGGAAGAGGGCACTAAAGTCGATTTAATGCAACGTTGGATTATTTCATTCGAACTTATTTTACTACTGTAACCAGGGCTCCAGATAAGGGCCGTATCGGCGTATGTACGGATAAAAAATATGCACGATACGGTAGGAAATAATTTAGAAAACGTAGCAGATACGCACCACGTACAGCAATGATGTACGGTCTTAGAATCATTTACAGACGTATTTATCTGAAAAAAGTATTGTTTTATTCTTTACACAAGAGTAGCAATGTTGTGGTGCATATATGAAACGAAACACAAGATTACTGATAGACCATTAACTTCCATTCAGTACTCTACATGTACACTTAAGGTTTTCCAGTACTCCGTATTGAACAAATAAGGTATAATTACATGGTATAATATAAGGGTTGATTGTATTGAGAAATGCATAATGTATTTTAAGAGGACATTGTGCCTTTAATGTCTTAGCCTGTTTTACTGTGCGCTTATTACGTCCATAAACCACATTTACCCTATACATGGGACAAACATGTGAAGTTTCTTTTTTTTTGTTTTGCAAACTATTAGAAAAGATCTTTATCCTAGTAAATGTACACTACGGAAGCGCTATATTTCATCAGGTCCCTTCAGCGCTTCCGTAGTATACGTAAAAGGGTTGACATGAAATATTAATTGTTCGCAACTATTCAGTCAAATGTCGGGAAACTGGGGTTATTGATCAGAATGTTATGAATTTCTGAATATGAATGTTGGCAACTGGGCAAATGCTCAAAACATTATAAGCAGCACTGATATTTGCACAAACATTTGTTCAGCTTATACTTGGGTATTCTGTCGGAATCTTACCTCAAACTTTTCCAGTTTTGTCATGCAGGCGGGTTCGCCGACGTGAACAAGTATGGTTCTCCATCTTAAACTCGTAACATACCTATACATTACAATACAGATCTACCCAGCACTTGTCTTTACGAAGGAACACTTGTACCTTATTGAATGGATATAGTTAACATGACCACAAGTGTTTTTGTTTAAGTGCTTATTAAGTTCATTTCTGAACGAATTCGTCGAGGAAATAATCTGATGAACCAATGTTACACAAATACAACTGGTCGAGCTACATTTGCCCTTCTAAACTCAAAATAATTACACCAAGCTTTATAATTTATCCGAGACTTACAAATTGTTTGAATACTCAACTGCCACACAACAGCATTGACAGGTAGCCTCACTGCCTTTGGTTGAACGGAGTCTGGTGAACTGGCCCCACGTGAAGCACGATCCCTGTTTATCGTCAGGAAGACTCTGGTTTCTGATTGGCGGATTGTGTTGAGCTGCACGAGATTCCACGGTCCAAGTGGAAATCCGCCCCGTTCAAGCCATTGAACACGGACCTTGACGATCAGGCTTTTCACAAAACTGTCTGAAAGCCTCCACTTAAGCAAAAGAAAAGTTAATCGTCGCAAAAAATGTCAGCCTTATCATTATTTTCTACCGCTTGTCACTCACCTTTTCTATTCGTATACTATACTATATAAAATGAAAGCATGACATTTCAGAGATAAGGAATATTAATTACAATGATGACAAACTTGCAAAGTGCGTTTTTGGTGACAATATCAATATTACAATGCATAAACATTTTTATGAAATAAAACACGGGTCATAGCACAGGCCCTTTGTGTCAGTGCTTATTTTTTTTCAGGATCAGTGATTTGTCCTCACTTAAACTTGTAAAGCGCTGATATCAAGGTAAATGCTGCTCAAACGCGCTGTTGTGTCTGACCATGCTTGCCACAAAAGACGACTATGCTTGTCGTAAGAGGCGACTAACCGGATCGGGTGGTCAGGCTCGCTGACTTGGTTGACACATGTCTTCGGTTCCCAATTGCGCAGATCGATGCTCATGCTGTTGATCACTGGATTGTCTGGTGCAGTCTCGATTATTTACAGACCGCCGCCATATAGCTGGAATATTGCTGACTGTGGCGTACAACTAAACTCACTCATTCACATACTGTTGTGTCTGAGAAAACGCGATAGAGCTAAGTTGAAAAAGTTTTGATTTGAATCCAGTGTGCGTGTTCTGGGATTTGATATGGACTGGCAGTTCATTCCACAAGCATGGTCCGGCATATTCAAAGGGTCTTTCACCAAAGGTCTTTGTGCGTGATGTAGTTGAAGCCCCACTTTGGATCTGGGTGAGCGATGTGGCTGGTATCTGTGAATAAGACTGGACAGGTAGCACGTAGCTGATCCATTCAGGCACTTGAACACCAATGGAGGTATTGCAGGCTTCGTGGTCATACCTGAGGCGTGTTCAGAACCGCGAGCGCCCGCGCGATTGCCTCCCGCGAGCGTTCGCATCGGCCCTGAACGGACGCGAGCGCTTGGTTACAATAAACCATTCGTGACCAACTCGTGTTGTTCCGGAACAAGCCGAATAGCTTCTTTTATTATATTCTTACTGACTGAATGAGTTTGGTTTTACGCCGCTTTCAGCAATATTCCAGCAACATCACGGCGGGGGACACCAGAAACGGGCTTCACACATTGTACCCATGTGGG